TTAGATGTAATACGTGTTTTACTATACTGTAGCTCCTAGATTGGTGGTGTTTGTTCAAGTTAGATGTAATACGTGTTTTACTATACTGTAGCTCCTAGATTGGTGGTGTTTGTTCATGTTAGATGTAATACGTGTTTTACTACATTGTAGCTCCTAGATTGGTGGTGTTTCTTCATGTTAGATGTAATACGTGTTTTACTATACTGTAGCTCCTAGATTGGTGGTGTTTGTTCCTAGTAAAACACGTATTACATCTAACATTACTGTAACTCCTAGATTGGTGGTGTTTCTTCATGTTAGATGTAATACGTGTTTTACTATACTGTAACTCCTCGATTGGTGGTGTTTGTTCATGTTAGATGTAATACGTGTTTTACTACACTGTAGCTCCTAGATTGGTGGTGTTTGTTCATGTTAGATGTAATACGTGTTTTACTACACTGTAGCTCCTAGATTGGTGGTGTTTGTTCATGTTAGATGTAATACGTGTTTTACTACACTGTAGTTCCTAGATTGGCGGTGTTTGTTCATGTTAGATGTATATGTGCCTGGTTCAGTTTCTTACTGCCTTAATGGGAAATAATATAGGCATAGCATTTAAATAATTTCCTCAAAGTCTGAGAAAAGATGTGGAAATTTGCAAGTTTAAAAATAAAGCAACGAAAAACCCGTTTAACTTCCTCTAATATAATCGTGCAGTTATAAAATCCAGACAAGATGTATCGTATGGTACGTTAAATGTATCATTTTAAAATAGATAGTCTGTACACAGATACTCAAAAGCATGCATAATTATGTTTCTTAATGTACTTAATTAACTTTTATGTTGTATAGAACTGTTTTTTCTTTGTTTGTTTGTTTCTAGAGATCAATCCGTGTTTAAAATGTCATGTAGATGTTTTATTCTTTAGTTTAATGAAAGAAAACTTTGTGCGAAAGGAAGTCAAAGTTATAAGGACTTGTATGTTTGTGGGTGTCTTATGTGGCAAAAGTGTCCGCATAGTTGTTTTGTTTAGAACATAGTTTAATTTCTAACTTTTTCTCTGAGACAAACAATAATTAAATTGGTTTCAATTGTCTACCTGGTATTTTCTCTTGTACGAACTGTATAGTAACTTTTGCCCCACCCTGTATATATCATGACCTAAATATATTAATTTTATAATACAAGTAATTGGAATAAGCCACGCATGTTCGTGTTCAGTGTATATTAATAACTGTAACTTAATGGTTCAAACACTGTTCAGGATACGACTTACATTTAACTATATGCTATTCAATAGCAGAACCTTGTTGTGTACAGTGAGATGAGACTGTACATTAAAATGAAAATGTATTGAAAGTATAAATTCAAAAAAATGTCTGTCTGATGTTTTATTAATGTCCAAATGGCTCTGCCTTATTCACATTTCATTGGGAATCCAAGTTATTTTTATCGCTCTATCGATTTTTCTGGTAAAGTTTCATGTTTAATAATACACTAGAAATGTAAAGTTTCGATTAATGATGCCAAATGCTATTTTTTTATATAAAAACAAAACAAAAAAACATTGCTAAGTGTAATCAAAATTGGTGTTTTAAGGGACGAACGATTGTAAGATGGTGCTTGCAGTGGAGCGCGATTCCATAAAAATACTAGCTAGGCCTAGATAAGGATTGTTTTAACCAAGGTTGGGATTATAGTTTTCAGAAATAGTACTTATTTTTGCTTATTTCTACAAAAAAGAAAAAGTTAGTATAAATAATGTGATCTATTCTTCGCCCAAAAATAAAACAATTTATTTTGTGGCAAAGCACGCACACACACACACACACACACACGCGCGCGCAACTTTATAATATTGATATTTTATGAACAATAATTTAACTAATTACAACTACTAGTTATAAATTTTCTACGGTTTCAAATGAATGCTATTGTTGTTTTTTTAAGTAAGTTTTTATTTTCAATGGAGGAAATATCGTGTAAGACCTCGATACATTTTTGAGAACAGAAAGATGCTAATCTTAAAAAAAAAAATTAATAAACACATTGAACATATTTTTGCCAAGTCAACAAATAAAATATATCGAAATGTGACTCTTGAGTTTATCCACTTTAATGACTCGTTTAGAATTAATTAGAATATATTTCTCGGTAAGTAATGTCATGAGGCGTTGAAATACCCGACTTCGGTAATCTGTATTTAATTTTCCGCGACA